TCTTGATTCCCTTGCGTGCGTGTCAAGTAAGAAATTGCTGCACTTGAAGTCAAGGAGGTTTTCTCCTGCTTTCTCCTCTAGGGTTTTGATGGTTTCCTGTCTCACTTTCAGGTCCTTTATCCATTTTGAGTTTATTTTTGTGTATGGTATGAGAAAATGCTCAGTCACTCTAATGGCCCCAAGCCCTATCTGATGTGTTCCCACTTCCTGCGTTAACACTCTAACATGATACCCTACAACCCTCACTCTTGTTCATTCCTCACCAGTCAACTAATCTACCTGTCTGTGAACAGACAAGGAGGGTGTGCTCTGACTTCAGGGCCTTTGCACTAGCTGTACCCTTTTGGCAGTTTTGCTCCAAGTTACCTCAGGAAGGCTGTCTTTAACCACCTTATTTAAAATTATAAGCCCCTGCCCTCTCCACCCGCCTCCCATTTTTAAAATTAATCATATCACTTTTTAATATATAGGGTTATATTTGTTTTGTTCTTAACTTTATGACTGTCAACTTCATAAGGGTAAGGATTTTTGTTCATGTAACCCCTACTGTATCTTCAAAGTAGAATGGTCTCTGATACACTGTAGAACTAGCTTGCTCTCTCTATAGATCTAGATATAGATCTATAAATATAAATATATATATTTATATAAATGTAAATTTGTATCTAGATCTAATAAATATATATGTTAACATTTATTTATTTTTTGAGAGAGAGAGAGACAGAGAGAGACAACAAGCAGGGGAAGGGCACAGAGGGAGAGAAGAATCTGAAGCAGGCTCCAGGCTCTGAACTGCCAACAGAGAGCCCGATGTGAGGCTCAAACCCTGAAACCATGAGATCAGGACCTGAGCGGAAGTTGGACACTTAACCGACTAAGCCATCCAGGTGCCCACTCAATATACATATTGACATAATGAATGCAGGGCACTTGATACATATAACAAATAATTGTTAGCTATCCATGTAAAAAACAAAAGAAAACAAAGTATTGACTATAAGAATATTGTGTATAAAGTTAGTGTGAGAAAAAAACCCAGAATTTAACAAAAGAATATAAATTACATTAAAGCATTTTTTATATTCAGTGAGAGTATATGTCAGGTCAGTAAGAGTTAAGATTTCTTGTTTCTAACCTAGGAACATTGTAAAATACAAGACATTTATATTATAATGACAAGAACATGCAAACTTGTGGATAGTAAAAGGAAACAAGAAAGCTGTTGTTATATACAGAAGAATCCTTCTGTATAATTTCAAGAAAAACGATAAGAAAGGTAAACATACATTCCTAACAATAAAAGGAAAATTTAAAAATTATATCATTTATGATCCAGATTTTCCAAAATAACAAGTGTATCTCTTTTCTCTTTCTTTTTATTTTTTATGTCGATTAATTTGAGAGAGAGAGAGACAGAGACAGAGCATGAGTGGGAGAGGGACAGAGAGAGAGGGACACAGAATCTAAGGCAGGCTCCAGTCTCTAAGCTGTCAACATAGCTGGATGTGTGGCTCAAACTTAAGAACTGCAAGATCATGACCTGAGCCTAAGTTGGATGCCCAATCAACTGAGCCACCTAGGTGCCGCTTTATCTTTCTTTTTAAATTAACTAATCTACTAATGACCAAGTTGTGCTAGACACTGGAGTAAGTTAAACACAAATTAAAAAGAGATTGAACGTGGCCCTGGTTTAATTTTGTCTAAATTCAGGAAAAAAGAAAAAAAAACTTCACGAAAAGGAAGGAGAGGTGGAAGGGAGGGGGAAAGAAAAGGAGGGGAAAACCAAGTGTGATAGATTTCAGGAGAGGAAACAATCCATTCTAATTTGGACCTTGGGGCAGAAAGGTGCAGAAGATCTGAAAAGCTTGAATGATATTGGTGGCATTTGGCAAGTCTTTGAAAACTAAACTTTCCTCCAGCAATATAATGATGTAAGGATGATCCCATTCCAGGAATATTTGTGTTATAGGAATTAAAAAGAAAGAAAAGAAAACTAAATTACATTAAAATTAAACAAAATATAAAAATCTCTGTGTAGAAAATTTAATTGTGAATGGAATATGGTTTGTTTGTTGATTGATTGATTGATCGATTGATTTGAATGTATTATTGAGAGACAGAGCATAAGCATAGGAGGGGCAGAGAGAGGGGGAGACACAGAATCCAAAGCAGGCTCCAGGCTCTGACATGTCACCACAGAGCCTGTTGCGGGGCCAGAACTCACATCCGGGAGATCATGACCTGAGCCGAAGTCAGCTGCTCAACTGACTGAGCCACCCAGGTGCCCCTGGAATATGGTTTAAATGAGTGGAAAACTTCTATAAATTGTATCATTTGTATTCAGTGGTAAATGAAATACATTAACACAAATTGCATTTTACCCTTTGTAAGCATTAAGTTAGCCAGCGATCACACAATTAGAGCGTAAAGTACTGTTCTAGACCTTCTTGAAAAACCTTCATTACTGATGAGAAAATGGACTGTCAGGGAAAGAAATGATGCAGGACCAGGCAGTTTTTAGATCAAGACTCACAATTTTGTGACCCACAGGCCAGTGCACGCCCCAGAATATGCTATTTACCTATTGCTGCTTAACCACAAAGATCTCTTGGTCTCCAGTATTGAAAGTAAAGGGTATGGATAGAGACAGGGAGACAGGGAGAAAGAAAAGGAAGGAAGAGGTGAAAGGAAAAAAAAAAGAAAAAAACTTTTGTGCCTTAGAAACCACTAAGCTGGACATGAGAGGATTTTGGTAGCTGCTCCAATAAATGAACTCCAGAATTTCAGTTTCATTCTCTCATCTGACACCCATTCAAAACAAGTCCAAATTTTGCATTTTTTTTTTCTCTACCTGGACCATTATTCCTCCAGTTTACCTGTATCACCTACTGCCTCACTGGGTCTTTGCTCAAATGTTACTATAATACTGTATCTAAAATAGGGGCAACTGGGTGGCTCAGTTGGTTAAGCGTCGGACTTCAGTTCAGGTCATGATCTCAGGGTTCGTGGGTTCGAGCCCCACGTCGGGCTCTGTGCTGACAGCTAGCTCAGAGCCTGGAGCCTGTTTCAGATTCTGTGTCTCCCTCTCTCTCTGACCCTCCCCTGTTCATGCTGTCTCTCTCTCTCTCTCTCTCTCTCTCTCTCAGAAATAAATAAAACATTTTAAAAAACTTAAAATAACATCCCTCTCTCCACCTTTGACACCTACATCCTTCCTTTCTACTGTATATTTTCCAGTGCACTCACCTCCAAACATGCTTACTATTTTCTTAATTTTTGTTATTTATTATTTTTCTTCTTGTACTTGAATGTCCCATGAAGGCAGGATTCTGTTTTCTGCTATATTTCCAACTATTATCATATACTGGCATATCATAGGTGTTTAATAAATAATCGTTAAATGAATAAAATATAATCTACATAAGTCTAGGGAAAACAGTAGAGTATATTTGCAAACATCAGCTTGTGAGTTAAATCTGGATACATTTCAGTTCTAGTAAATTCCTTACTGAATTAGTGACTTTGACAAGATACTTAATCTCCATCTGACTTAACTTACTGTTAAATGTAGGTAAAAACATACCCACTTCGTACAATTGTTATAGGGATTAAAGGAAATAATACCTACAAAGTTTCTGGCTCTTTGTGTGTACTCACTAAATGTTAACCATCAGTCTGTTAGCTCTTTTTAAGAGATCTAGGTATAACTGTAAGTGCTTAGAGCATTTAACAGAATTGGCAATTGATAACATATTAAGACATAATATTACCATCCAGTCTGAATTCATACCATTTCTAAGTTCCCTTACTCTGGCTGTACGTGACATAACATGTGGTAGCAGATTTTAAGCATTACTAATAAAAGAAGTGAGTGCAGGGACACCTGGGTGGCTTAGTTGGTTAAGTGTCTGACTTTTGTTTAGGTCATGATCTCTTTGTTCGTGGGTTCTAGCCCTTCGTCGGGCTCTGTGCTGACTGTCAGCTCAGAGCCTGGAGCCTGTTTCAGTCTGTGACTCCCTCTCTCTCTGACCCTCCCCTGCTCACTCTGTCTCTCTCTCTCTCTCCTAGAAATAAATAAAACGTTAAAAAAAAAAAAAGAAGTTAGTGCATGTATAATAAACAATATTTTACTCTGTTACAATACTATGTCAAATACTTGAACTCTTTACATTTATACATACTTTTTATGTTTGGTGGGTGTCAACAGATGGAATGAAATAACTCCAAAACATTTTTAATTATATGAAAAGGCTAAATATATATGGTTCTGTTTTTGAACTTGAAGAGTCTTGTATCCTATAGAATGTAGATTTTCTGAGGTACATCACAGTTCTTGGTTGTCCTTGTAGCCACCATAGAGACTTCTCGTTTTATACTTTTGTACCTTGACTATAGCTTGTTTACAAGGTCTTACTCTTTTTGTCATCCTAATAGGAATTATTTTCCAATGTTCTCTCCTGTTTTTTTAGTTGTAGTTTCATTTCAACCTCTTAATATTTTTGAAAAGATTTTCTTGTAACGTTTGCTAGACTTTGTTTTCTAGTTTTTCAGAGCTTCTGTCACCCTTCAGTCAAATTCACGTTTAGAAAACTTTCCAACTTTTAAGAAAACAAATTATCTAAATTTGTTCAGTTTTTGTTAAGCAAATAAATGTTTGGGAATCTATTGAATTCTTAGAAATATCTTTGTCTTCAATTTCGAGAGAGGTGATGAACTTGCATGATTCTAATTTTATTTTCGAAAAATTTAAGGACATGAAACTATAGAGATGCATTTAATTCTTATGAAGGTTACTGTAGCATCAGCATTAATCCACTAAAAAGGAAACTTTCATGTTATTCCTTTTTTTTTTAGCTTACATTTTTGTTGAATGGGTCATAAGAGAGTTATACTTGGCTGAACCTTGGAAAATCATGAATAAAAGAGAGATTAGTACATTTAAAGAGAAAGAAAAGGAAGAAATATAAAAATGGATGTAATTTTCTCTTTCTTTTTTCTAGCCCTAGGAAAAGATAAGGATTACATGGATGAATCAGAACATGCTGCTTATGACCGATCTCGGCTTATTAAAGACTTTGTGCCCAAAGATAATTCTGAATCCAAGGCAAAATTGTCTAAGGTAACACAAACTCAACTATCAGTGAGTCACTTGAAAGCATTATGTTTAAATTAAAACCTTCCATTTCCATTCAACATTAATGTATATTGTGCTGGAGAATGTAAGAGGGCATGCAACTTAATACACATCTTTAAGGACTTCAAGGTGGAAAATTCTATGTAGATATTATATTCAGATATATTATCAAATTAAAAAAATATCTGAGCTGTAACATTAACCTTAGAGGTTTGCTACCTCATTTTTTACATTTTTATTTAAAGGCAGCATGGTTTGATGGGAGCATGGAATGGACCACGATTTGAATTCGAGTTCCACTGTTTCCTAGTTGTGACAGTTTGAACAGGTTAATTAAACTCACTAAGCCTTGTTTTTTTCATCTGTAAAGTTGGATTGTGCTGTCTGCTTGACAGAATTCTTTGATGAGTGTGTGAGACAGCTGTATGAAAGTATTTAGAGCATAGGTAACTATGCAGGTTTTTATAACAACACGGAAGCTGAGAAGACCTCATTGAAAGTATAGTTCTTCCACAGAAGAACTGGACTAGAGTTCAGTTTTAAAAAACCCTGGCTGTAGCAATCCCATCACCCCCCAAACAAAATGATTTTGTGCACTCTTCAAAGCATCTGAGTTTGGTCATTCAACACCAAGTAGCATCCTTATTTGATATGTGCCAAGACAAATTCTGGCTCAGTCCAAGCCCACTTTTTTTTTTTTTTTTTCATTGTTTCCTATTGATTAAAGTGGGAATGCCTTTGTAAAAAAAAAAAAAAAAGCGCAAGTTAACACAGGGGGATGACTTAGCTTTCATTGTCACTGCAAAGCTAATAAACACATCCTTGAATATATATTTCTCTGATGTTTGATTTGGTTTGGCTTGGATTAATTTTGAAAACCCCTTCATTAGTCACCACAAAAGCATCAGTGGAATATGGCACAATTTTAATATTACTATCATACATGAGACCAACTTTGATCAAAAGATGTAAGAGTAAATTCTTGTGTCAAATTTCTTCATCCCTCTTTCATTTTGTTTTGGTAAATGCGGTCAGTATTTTGTGCCAATAATTCTTAGGTTATCTTTACAAATCAGGAGTTTGTCTACCCTGTTTACCTCACCAGCCTCTTTGTGTCTGTCTGATCAACATGATGCTTAGAATGTTTCTTCTATCTGTGAACCATTTTTCCAAGTCACCTCAGAGGAAGAGTTATTAGAAATACTGAGGAAAAAAACAGATATTGTTCTAAGATGCCCATAGCACCAATCAGCAGGCAAACACAGTATGCTTTACATAATTAGGAAATGAACTAAGATAAAATAAAATCTGGCTCATCTGCTTCTCCAGAATTTACCACATACCACCAATGATACCTACTATTTCACTTCTGCTCAACAGTATCCCGCCCTTTCTTTTTCTTTCCTTCTTCCTTTCCTTCTTTCTTTCCTTCTTCCTTTCCTTCTCTTCTTTCTTTCTTCCTTTCCTTCTCTTCTTTCTTTCCTTTTTTCTTTCTCTCTATCTTCCCCTCCCTCCCTCTCTTCCTTCCTTCCTACCTTTTGTTCTTTCATTCTTTCTTTAAGTAGGCCCCATGCCCAATGTGAAGCTTGAACTCACAACCCTGAGGTCAAGAGTCACATGCTCTACAGACTAAGCCACCCAGGCAACCCAACAGTAGCCATTTCTCATTCTCACTTTGAATAGACTTGAATTGCAGAATATCAAAGTTAAGAATAAATAAATAAAAATAAAATAAAATAAATTAAACCTGCATGCATATTTTGTTTTTGATGTTAAAATAAGGGAATGGTATGTGATGATGGTAACAGATCACAGTTGTTCAAACTAAGAAATCCTAAAAAGAAACATACTAAGAAATCCTAGTGTAATGTCTTATTGAATCTAATTACAAACTTTTCTGCTATTGAACTTCTACTCAAAATGTAAGAAAAAGTCATGCATCAGCTGGATGGTTTGGACTTACTTTTTTTTAGTTTCTATTAAAATATGTCCACTTTTATCCATTTCATAGCTTAGAGTACAGTACAAATTCCATTTGAACAAGTGGTCCCATTATATAAAGAAAAAAATGTTTAAAAGCCCTTAACTGGTTACTTCACTATCTACAAACGAAGGGCAAAATAATCTGCTTGGATTATGTTATTTGTGTACATTTGTTACAGAAAACCTTGAAGAGCAGTGACTTTTATTTCTACTATTTGGGTCAGCATCTGGATATCCTTACATTTATAAATTGGTCAGCCTTCCTCTTACTCCATCCAACTACTAAATGATATGAGTATTTATGTGCATGTATTAGATATATATTTCTTTAAGTTGGACCTTATGAAATTGACATGAGCCCTTCATTTATGTGCTACAAAATGTAATTTTCATATTGTTTAAATTAACATGTATGAATATATGCATACAATCTGTGGCTGAAGATCTGTGCTTCACACATTTTTTTTGGTTGGGATAATTGTACTGATTGCCACATGCCCCACGCATATGATGTGATGCAACTGATATTTTATGCCTTTTCAAAAGTTACTTAGCTACAAAGGGATCTTTTTAGAGGTGGCAAAGCAAGTTTATAGAGCAAAAACTTGCAGGGGAAAGTGACTGCTAATATAAACTATATTGTAAGTAATGGTAAGTAGTGGATTACAGAAAAACAAAAGGAACTTTCCAACAAAATTTGCCATTAGCTGTAAACTAGGTTCATAGGAAATAACTCCAAATGCTCCAAGGTAGTATCTTACATTGAATTTATGAGGAAGTTTGCTGAGCTCATCAGCTGTAAAAACAAACAAGCAAATCTGAAAATGTATGGATTATTTGATTTGTCAACCATTGTGCAAATGTTGCCTGAATGATCTTGAGTCAGCATGCTGAGTTTAAATTTTGATCATATATCCGTTACTTATAATATTTTAATAAGCTAAGTATATTTGTAGGGCACCATGGTTTGTTCTAGAATTAATTTTCAGAACAATGAGTTGTAACCTTAAGGTATTTTACTTCTAATCATGAACTTTTGTGATATCATTTACACTAAAATTCTTTAATATTTGAGAAAATAAAAGCATCTACAATACTAACGTCTACTATGATGAAGTTATATTGATAAAGTAATAGTAAATAGTAGTAAATGTTTATTTTATGTATTTGGAAGATACTATGCGCAAAACTTGTAGGACAGAGGAAGATGGCACATATGGATAGGTGTTGCTGTGCAGGTATTGGGGCGTAGCACAAGATACATGCATATAAATGGAGAAAGCTAAAAGACTCTGGAAATGGGAGGTCATGCTAACTATGGGATAAATCTAGACTTAGCTCACCTAAAGCTTTTTGATAAGAGCCATTTTAAATAACTAGATGTACTATAGTAGATGGGAAATAGGCCACAGTCTTTCTTATATCTCTATTTTAAGCAACTCCCATCAAGAGGTAGGATCATTAGAATGGCCTTGGCCCTTGCTTTGGCTAGTATAGTAGGCTGCTGCAGAAGTCACAATGTGACAGCACTGACTCTTGGACTCCAAGGATCTTGTGCTCCTATTCTTTCTCTTGGGACTGTGCCTCCACCATAGTAAACAAGCCAGAATTAGCCTGCCTGAGGATGAGGCATATGGATCAGAGTCTAGTGAGCCCAGGTGCCCCGACTGAAGCAGTGACATGAGAGAATTCAGTGGCAAAGACCAGGAAACTCAGACACTTAGAAAGTCCAGTTGAACCCAGATGAACTACCCAGTTGGGCGCAGCATGGAATCATGATCCAAATAAAAATTGTTTGGTGATAATTTGTTTCTCAGCAGTAGATAATTGATGCAGCCATGAATGTTAAAGAATAGCGTGTTGGCTGATACCAGTGATTGTTAACATAAAGTGGGTTCTTCCTTGATTACTGGGAAGATTTGAAAAATTGTCTTAAGCTTTCTACAACATGCTCATGTTATCCATTTCACTCGACAGAGCCCAAGTATATTTTAAATGTCATAACCTAAATAATGTGGTATCTAGCCATCCTATCTAAAACATTCTGACATTGTCTATCTTAAAAAAAAAACAACTATTTACAAAAGTGTTTTATTTGTGATAACATTAAATCAAAGTAGAATTTCAAGATTACCTTCAATTGAACTATGTGTGGATAGTTAGCAGTAGGAGTCACAAGTACCTACTAAAATTGGTGAAGAATTATTTTTTATTTATTTAAATTTTTTAACATTTGTTTATTTTTGAGAGACAGAGCATGAGCAGAGGAGGGAAGAGAGAGAGGGAGACACAAAATCTGAAGCAGGCTCCAGGCTCTGAGCTGTCAGCACAGAGCCCAACGTGGGGCTCAAACTCATGAACCACGAGATCATGACCTGAGCCGAAGTTGGCCGCTTAACTGACTGAGCTACCCAGGTGCCCCAAGAATTATTTTTTAAAGACAAATTAATTTCCTTCTTTCTTTCTTTCTTTCTCTCTCTCTCTCTCTCTCTCTCTCTCTCTTTCTTTCTTTACATTTTGACAAAAAGTCTCTGTCACAGCTATATGGATAAAAAATTTCAGGAAGTAAATTTGTAATGAAAAAAAGGAAAAATTCCATAAATCCATAGAAACTGAGTCACCTGTTCTGGTTGCAAGCAGAGTTCTAGAGTAGAGAGAAATTTTTTTCTAAAATACTTTGGGTGAATATTGTCTTTTTCTGTCGTGTTAATATAGAGATCATTATGAATAACAATTAAATATAAGGTCCTACTGTCAACTGGATGACCCCCAGAAGCAAAACCCTTCTGTCTGTCAAAGCACCATGTCCTACACACCAGTTGAGGCCTCTAGATGTAGATAATTTACAGGGAACATCTACAGTTAATTTAGGTTAGAAGGAACAAATCTGTGACGCAGAACCCATGGCTTCTGTAGTGGACATTAATGAAGAATTTGCTGCTGCTACTATCCCTCAGGATGCCAAGAACAACTGCAGATGTGGCCAATCATCAGTCTGGGAA